CATGGGTCACAGTCAAAACACAAACTCAAAATATTGTACACAATTACTTATGTAAAGCAAATATGAAATACAAATGAGTTTCATGTTTGGGTTTAGGTCCAAACCCCAAGATCATTCAAAAAAAAAAAATTATATATATATATATATATATATATATATATATATATATATATATATATTCCAAAATCTTTAAAAAGCAGAAATCCAAAATACTTCTAGTCCCAAGCATTTTGGATAAGAGATACCCAATCTGTAATATTATTTCTCAATTCTTCGTATATTAAAATTAACAAATACTGTTTCCAGGAAATTAACTTATTAAATCATGTGAACATAAGAAGATTACAAAGCCACAAATATGCACTCTTGAGGGTTTTATGTTAAGAGTAGCTCCCAAAATGAGAAATCCTCTCCGGAATGGAGATGTATATATTTCATAATTAAATTTGTGATAAAAATAGCTTTTGAACTTTTGACTTTGGGGTACAAAACTTAAACGTGTGCTACTGCAAACCACTAGAATATAGAGCTAAATAAGTCTGTGTGGGTGTGTTTGGGAAGGAGGGCTAGTCCAAGCTAACTGTGGTAATGAAAATTCCTGAGTCAGTGTAAATAATTTTGCTGTTATAAAACACAGATTTAGACCTTTGCTGACATTCTGAATTCTTGAAGATTTCTGAATCCTGTCAGGCCAAGAAACACTTTTTTAAGGAGCTGTTATGCAAGCAAGGGCTGCCTAGTGAGACTGAATGCCACTAAAATATCTTCCTTACAAAGCAATCTCATTAGGGGGCTGGAGGTCTGGCTCAGTGGAAGTGTGCTTGTCTGGCATGTGAGTCCTTGGGTTTCATATCCAGCACTGCACAATATAATAAAGGACTCTCACCTCCCATCACAATGCCTAAAGACCCACCACTGAAAATGGTTTAACACATTCTGTCAGTAGGATCCCAAGGTTACAATGTACCTATTCTTGGAATGGCTGTCAGATACTCAGAGCCCCTTTCACAGCCATTACCTATTTCAACAGTTGTGATCTTAAAATTAGCTTAGTGGCCTAGTGTGATTTTATACCACCCAAGAATGCTGAAATGGAAAGCAAAAATCAAAGGTCATCTTGGGCCCTCAAATAGAGTAGGAACTAAGAAAGCATAAAGGGGATGGGGTAGGGATAAAGATGAGGATGAACACAATTATGTCTGGAACAAATTCTGGAGGAATCTTAACTCAAACTTTTTTTTTTTTAACTGAAGATCATGCACAGAGTCTGAGTCTGACAGTATCAAAATTGTAAACAAATTGAGATTTCAAGCCCAGAAGGGAAACTCCTGCTATGGATAAATGGATAAACAAAATATGGGATATATTCCAATACAATGGAATATTATTCAGCCTTAAAGGAATTGTGATATATGCTACCTCATGGATGAATCTTGAAGACATCAAGGTAAGTGAAACAAGCTAGAGACAAAGGACAAATATTGGGTGATTTCACTTATATGATATACCTAGAGTACACAAATTCATAGATAGTAGAATAGTGATTGCCAGGGGCTGGGGATGGGTAGGTGCATATGGGAATGGAGAATTATATTTTAATAGGTACAAAATTTTAGTTTGGAATGGTGGAAAACTTCTGGAATGGATAGTGATAAAGGTTGCACAAGAATGCAAATGTACTTAAGGCTTCTGAACTGTACATTTAAGGTGGTTAAAATGGTAAACTCTCTACTATGTATATTGTACCACCCCCTCAAACCTCAAGCAAACAAAAAACAAAGGCCCAGTTTGGGGCCTCATAAAAAGAAAAATAAAGATTCATGCAAACATAAGGAAGGAAGGACAGTGCGAGATGAAGAAATGGAACCTCTAGGGAGACTACAAACATCTCTCACTTTGGCATGGGGAACTCAGGAAGCACTTGCCATCTGCCTAATGACTTTTGAGGCTTCAGCCACAGGTACAAAGCAGCAACTCAAACAAGGACAGTAGAAAGACAAGGAAGAGACACAGCCCCAGATGTTCCCAGATTTAAAAACACCTCATGCTTACGTTCATGGGTGAACTCCTGAGATTAACCAGGAGTATTCCAGATCCCTGCCTCATGAATTTATACCCCTAAGTCTCTGCCAGCCTTCTCCCACCAAAGGAGGGCCTAAGCCTGTGGAGGTCTCTGTCGGGAACCAAGGACAAAGGATTGAGGCAGAAGACCTTCCTGAGGGTTTTGCCTACTCCTTGGCTCTGGCTTTCAAGATCCCCAGTGACCTCAGTTCTGAGGCTCATTCTACTACTGTAGCATCCAAACCCCCTGCGGGGAAGAAAGCAGAAACCTACAGTCCAACGAAACACCTCCGCGACCATCCAGTTCCGGCAGCCTCACTCCAACTGCTGGGCGAGTTCTTGGCTAGTGCTGCTGTCCCTGGGCGTCCCGGACAGCGCAAGGGTCGGCACGGCTGCTCAGAGCCACCAGGGGGCAGCTCTCCCCTGCGCGGGCACCTCGGGGATCCGCGCCACGCCACTCTCCGAATCCACTCGGACAGGGCGTACGGGAGTGGGGTCACCGAGTTGCTTTCTTGGCCCATCTCTGGGAAAGTTTTCTGTCTTTTGTAACAGCTTGAGTGAGTCGGGTGGGCTTGAGATTTCCTAACCGCGGTCGAAAGGTAGGAAAACTCTGGGAAGATAGCCTGGGAGTGGGGGACGAAGGAGGCAGTAGGGGAGCGCGTAAGACTTTTCATCTTGGGTTTCAGCGCTCCCGGGACTTCACGAGATCGGAGCTAAAGGTCGCATACAAATGTGTAGCTTAACTAAAGCAAACAAAACAAGAGGAACGCCCCCAAAGTGGGGCTTTAGTAAAGCTTGCCCAAATCTCTGTTAACATTCTCTGTCTCTGAAGCGGTCCCTTTGGGTTGATCTTCTGCTCTGACCTTCAGTAAATCCCCACTTCCCGGAGTGGTCAGAAGGTAATTTGCCACGCTTTTACAAACGATCCCCGGGAAGAGTCTTTTAACCTGTGGAAGGGGGAGGGACCTGTGGACAAGGTTAGGAACCTAACGCAGAATCTATTTCTGGAGCCCTTCTTGGACAGACAAGTTCAGGGCGATGGAAACTCTGAACAGAATGACGGCTGTAACTGATCTTCCAAAGTAATTAATGGTCTACGAACAAATTTTTCCACTATTTCATCTTTAAATCGCCACACACCAGCCCTCAGTGCGGCGAAAATCACGGTGTTTATTTAGATACGGACCAGGACTTACAAAACTTAAACTTTTTGATGTTAAAAGTGAACTCCTTAGTAAGAACTCCTGACTGTATCAACAAAGCAATGTGATGCCTGATTAATAGTGCTGATTAACGTTGGCTGAGGTTAATGCGGAGCCCATTACAATAATTAAATTGTTCGGCCATATATCAAATGAGAGTCAATGAAAAATAATTTATTTAGAATTTTTAGGCATTCTCATAGATCTTTCAAAGATCTATAATAGACTTTATGGGTCATTTGTAAGTGTAACTGGTGGTAGCCATACTCAAGAAAAAAAAAAAACAACACGATTTTAAAAGAAGTCTTACATGGGAGAACAGTTTATTTTTTAGGCTCCGTGATTGATAACAGGAATAACCAAACGTTTCAAAACATGATAAGTAGTTGGTTGATAAAATTATGTATACCAAGGCAATTGGCAATTGTTTCTACAGAAAGCCATTTAATTTTTATTCTCAGTTCTTGTTAAAGATCATTTAAGTTAAAATTTGAAATTTGAAGGCAGAAGTCCCCACTTTGAAATAGAAGCATTTCAGAAAATGAAAAGATTCAGAAAGTATGGCTGTGAAATGTGAATTGCACAAACCACTAGGATTTTACAGTATCCAAAATAATTAATTTAGGTGCGATGAGTATCCTTAAGATATTACCACATTTGAATGATTTCCACTACCTTATCACCTGAAAAAGAAAATTGAATTGAATAGAATTTGAGTCTTACATTTAAAATTTTTCGTTTCTTTTCACCAGAAAGCGTTTGAAATGTTTAATGAATTTTCTAAAAATGCATTTTTAAAGTTTGATTTTACTTAAAGTTTTAATTTATCGTTTTAGTTTCTATTATTAAGCCTGCCTGAATAGAAAAAAAAATGTGTATATGCTTTAGTAATTATTTTGAGATTACTGTGAAATGATGACTAGAATGCTCCCTTTTCTGAAACTGTAGCCCCTTTCTCCAATGTGAAAGTTCTTATTACAGTCGTTCCTAGGTGTAACTTTATGCATGTGTAATTTGGTTTTTCACTAAAATTTTGTATTTCTTTTCTGCGTTCAGTGATTGCTTTCTTTATTCCCATGGAATTTGTAAGATCCTCTCATTAGAGTGGCTTAGTTTAGCTGTCAAGTCTCTAGGGCATTCAATTGCAGATAAATGACTAAAAACGCCAGCCTAACAGCATTTTTATTAACAGATGGCGGAAAACAAACGTCTTTAGAGAAGAACCGAAGGGAACGGGTTAAAGGGTCAGTAAACAATTATTATCCTGCTTAATCTGGGGGTTTCTCATCAGATAACACGGGGAGCTGCTCGCCCATCTAGGGGAACCACGACACCCCAACAGACACTCCCCTCTTCGGAGGACCAGGTAATTGTCCCCCAAAGGAAGGGCTCCTACAGGCATCGAGTGGTCAAATCCTAGAGTTGTGGGAGGGATTCTGAGGTTCGGGCTGAGGGCTAATTGAGAAGAAAACTGGGAACTCTAACTCCTGCTGCTGACCGCCGGGGGCGAGCGCCTAATGCAGGTTATCTGCCCCCTTGGCCAGGAATAGAGGGGTCCTCTCTCCTTCCCACTCTTCTCGGTTGCTGCCCCCTCCTGCGGGCGAACTTTCTCTCCGAGCAGAGCTGATTTCCTAGGCTTTTTTTCCCTTCCCTCGGCTGCGCTCTGACGTGCACACCATGTGACTGGCCCCCTTCTGCTAAAAGCCGAGGAAAGGTCCGCCCTCTTCTGGACTCAGCCCCGGCCTCGCCGAGCTCTGTTCCTAGACTCTCACGCGTTCTGCGCCCTCCAGGGCGGCCGAGGCTCTGACTCGCCCACCCAGGCCTAGCCACCCCCCTCCCCAACTGACGCGACGAGAGGCGCTCTCAGAGGAGAAGGTCAAGTCCTCCGCGCCGGCCGGGTGCACGCGGAGCACAGGGTGCGCAGAAACCGCGCGGTTGCAGAGGCGGCGCGGGAGTTGCAAAGTCGGAGCGCGAGACTCCGCCACCGCGCGGCAGCCCCAGCAAAGCTAGGGCAGCGGCGGCGACCCCAGCGTGGCTCCCCCGGGCCAGGCCCGCCGCCCGGGAGCCGGGCCCGGGGGCCGAGGGAGGCCGGAGGCCGGCGCCCCTATGCGCCGCCCCGCCGCCGCGGTGCCACAGCTATGACCCTGAGCACGGAGATGTCCGATGCCTCCGGCCTCGCCGAGGAGACAGACATCGACGTGGTGGGGGAGGGCGAGGACGAAGACGACGAGGAAGAGGAGGACGACGACGAGGGCGGCGGTGACCGGCCCGGGCTGGCTGTCCCCGCACAGCGGCGGCGGCGGCGGTCCTACGCTGGAGAGGACGAGCTCGAGGACCTGGAAGAGGAGGAGGACGATGATGACATCCTGCTGGCCCCGCGGACAGGAGGTTCCCCGGCAGCTCCAGGCCCAGCCCCGGCAGTGGGCACCGGAGCCGGTGGGGGCGGCACCGCGGGCGCGGGCGGTGGCGGTGGCGGGAGCGCGGGTAGCGGCGCCAAGAACCCACTGGTGAAGCCGCCCTACTCCTACATCGCGCTCATCACCATGGCCATCCTGCAGAGCCCCAAGAAGCGGCTGACGCTGAGCGAGATCTGCGAGTTCATCAGCGGCCGCTTCCCCTACTACCGGGAGAAGTTCCCCGCCTGGCAGAACAGCATCCGCCACAACCTGTCCCTCAACGACTGCTTCGTTAAGATTCCCCGCGAGCCGGGCAACCCGGGCAAGGGCAACTACTGGACGCTAGACCCCGAGTCCGCCGACATGTTCGACAACGGCAGCTTCCTGCGCCGAAGGAAGCGCTTCAAGCGACAGCCGCTGCTCCCGCCCAACGCCGCGGCCGCCGAGTCGCTGCTGCTGCGCGGTGCGGGGGCCTCGGGCGCCGCGGGAGACCCGGCGGCCGCCGCGGCGCTCTTCCCGCCGGCTCCACCGCCGCCCCCTCACGCCTACAGCTACGGCCCCTACGGCTGTGGCTACGGCCTGCAGCTGCCGCCCTACGCGCCGCCCTCCGCCCTCTTCGCGGCCGCAGCGGCCGCGGCGGCCGCAGCCTTCCACCCGCACTCGCCCCCGCCGCCCCCGCCGCCACACGGTGCGGCCGCCGAGCTGGCCCGGACCGCCTTCGGCTACCGGCCGCACCCGCTCGGCGCCGCCCTGCCCGGCCCCCTGCAGGCCTCGGCGGCCAAGGCGGGCAGTCCGGGCGCCTCCGCGCTGGCGCGCTCGCCCTTCTCCATCGAGAGCATCATCGGGGGCAGCCTGGGCCCCGCCGCTGCCGCCGCCGCCGCCGCGCAGGCCGCCGCCGCCGCGCAGGCCTCGCCCTCGCCCTCGCCGGTGGCAGCTCCGCCCGCTCCCGGCTCCGCGGGAGGCGGCTGCGCGGCTCAGGCGGCAGTGGGCCCGGCCGCCGCGCTCACTCGCTCCCTCGTGGCTGCAGCTGCAGCCGCCGCCTCCTCCGTCTCCTCGTCGGCCGCCCTGGGGACTCTGCACCAAGGGACTGCCCTGTCCAGTGTGGAGAACTTTACTGCTAGGATTTCAAATTGTTAATGACGCTATGTTAGCGCGCTTGAGAAAGAGAAGGTAGGAATCCCGGCTCTTTTTTTTTTTTTTTTTTCCAACTCGGTGGTTTGGTGTTTTGTTGGCTCCTACTGGCCCCTCTCGACCTCGCGCTCCCATTTTCTCGGCTTCGGATTCTCGGATGAGACTTTGGCGCCCGCGCGGGCACGCTTTTTGGCTCTGCAGGTCCCTCTATTTATGCAAAGTCGTCCTATTCTGCAGCCCCCTACCCAGGTTGGGGAGGAAGAGGGTGCCGGTGGGGATTCTCCTTGTCCAGGCACTAGGGGCTTCCTTGACTTTTGGGCAAACTGAAAAAAAAAAAAAGAAAAGAAAAGAAAAAAAAATCTAAGCCTTTTCTCAGGTTCAGGCGTTTAAGATCAATAACGTTCAAATGAATAATAATACAAAAACAGTAAAGGGCTTGAAGAATGCCTTTTATTTGAGGATACTTGTTTGGTGTACTTTTTCATGAAAAGGAAAAAATGATTAACATGTTTACACAAGAAACAAAATTCAAAGTTATCATTTCTTATTTTAACCTGTGTTTTGTATCATAATAGATATGCTGAATTTTTATTTTGTACTTACTGTGTATTCTTTACAAGGAGTATTGTAAATTTTACTGGCAATTATTATTGTACTATTGTAAGATTTTTACACTTTTTCAGAAATAAAATGCTTAATTTTCAAAGTAAATCTGCTGAATTAGTTGGCTTCAGTTGTCCCCTTCTTAGTTTATTTTCTATTAAGAAAATTTTCTATATGGGATGAGTAGGAATTCAGCACAGAATAGACTTAAATATTATTATCAAAGAGATTTTAACAAAAGTATCATATCATAATTTTCATTTAAACTTCCTAAGTAAAAGTCATTGCAGATGAGAAATTATATTTAAATGATTACAAATAAGCTACTTTGCTATACATTTCAAAAGCTGATTCTACTCTACCTTGAAGACCATTGAGACATTTTAAAACTGAAGCCACAGTTACCCTGAGATAATTTTATAGGAATTTGAAATCTTATTTTTAAGCTTTCCACTTTATTTGATTTCCACTTGCTTTTCTGCACAATATTGCTTATATATGCAAAAATGGTACAAGATAATATTCTGTAATGGAAACAAAACAGCAAAGAGGCAGTTTCTAGTTTAAAATTTTGATAGAAAAATAAATTAGTGGAGACAATCATCAGTAAAAGCTTTAAAGTCTTGAATGAGCAAATATCTGAATATATAAAAACCCATATTTGATACTTCTAGCATGTAAAGTTACCATTTTTTTAGATAAAAGGGATTTCAGAAATTGCATAGAGTTTTTTTTAAAATCTTAAAAGGCAAACATTGAAATTCTAGCTTAAGTGAATAACTTAAGAAATCCTCAACTTTAGCATGTTTTAAAGAATTAAAAATGCATCAAGTGTTTATTGAGCTAATTATACAATTTGAGTGACTTAAGATGTCTTTTTCCCCCCAAGTTTCAAGTCATTAACTAATTGTGTCCAATTTCTTTTTCTTACAAATACTGTGAGACTAGTTTTGATAGCTAATAACAAATGTTATTATGGGCTCTAAATAAAACCAAGGCATATTTAATACATAATTTGAATGCCTAATATCAGTGGAAATTAAATGACTTTTTTCATTTTCCATAAAATATCTGGACAGGCTGAAGACCTGCAGATTTAACTTCCCAAATTAATGAACTCTACGGTAGAGGCCAGTATTTTTAAGTAATCTTCATTCTTGATTCCCTATCCTTTCATCCTTTTTAAGGAGGAAAACACCGACTCTCACAGCCTCGAAATTAAGTTCTGCTTGTTTTTTCCCCCTATGGGATGTTTGGAAGAAGTTAAATAAAAGGTTAGAGTAAACACACTCACCCTCAAACTTACCACTAAATATATAGCTACAAATTGAAATACTGCTAGACCAAAATCCTAAATGCAAAGTAACTTGTACTTTAGCCAGGCTAAGAAGAGAAGGAGACATTGGACCCCAGAATGTCTGGAACCCACACCCAGAGATGCAGAGGCTTTAGCAGGCGAAATCCAAAGGGCGCAGAGAAGGCTGGCGCACCTTGTGGCCTTCTGTAAAGCAGGGATCTGGAATTTAGATCTGAAAGTAATTACAAAAGGGGCCAAGAACAAAACCTTTTTTTTTTTTTTTTTTTTTGCTTTTGTTTCTGTTTTGCATGACACATGGATGTCCCGAAAAAAAGGGATTCCGGCTAAGCCCTTTCTCGCTCAGATTCCTGCATCTTTAAAAAGTGCGGGGACGAGCTCCACCTCCCAGGCTGTCAGTGCTCTTCAGAGAATGGCAAGAAAGCACTGGGCAATCCAGCACTGGCCCTGCTTGGTTCTGGGACTGGGCTCCCGCTACACTGCTCCCGCTGTTTTTGAACAGGTGGAGCGCAGCGTGAGCCCCTGACCCAAAAGTAAATGCAAACCAAACTTGCCTTGGTTTCTAGTGCTGCGTCCCCCACATTCAGCTACCCACCCTGCGGGATTGCGGCTCGAGGTGGGCTTTGCTTGCCCCTGTGGGCTGAAGCCTGGGGAAGCCAGAGCCTTGAGGCGGGTGAGGTATGGGCTGTGAGAGGTGTGGGTGATGGGCCTCGGGGCTGGCGAGGCTGAAGAGTGGGCCTGGGCCGAGAGCTGTGGACCCGCGAGCCGGGAACGCGGGGCGCGCCCAGTCAGGCCGCGCAGGCGAGCAGGTGCTGGAACAAAGGCCGCCAGGCCGCCGGCTACCCGGGCCTTTGATGGGCAAGGACGTCTCCTCCCCGGGCTCCTTATTCGCATGCAAATCCAGCGCTGGTCCCCTTTTCTTTGAAGGCAAACAGAAGGATGTTTGTGTGTTTGTAGGGACGAAGCTTGCTTGAACAAGCCTTCCTCAATAGGCTGGGTCTCGAAAAATAAACCAGTTGGACAAACATTGGCCACCAGCTCTCCTCCTCCCAACTACAAAGTGTGGATTTGCTACAACTCATTAACCCGACGCTTTTCTCCCCTTCTTCTTGTTTCTCTACTCATCAAACGCCCCCGTAGAGCCTGGAGACAAATGACCGAAGCGCAGTCGGGAGGGAATTGCAGTTAATAGGGAGAGGGATATATTGGGGCTAATGGTTCAGGCAGCTCCCGGAGAAGGACCACACAAAAAGGAGCCTCTTCATTCAGGGCTCTGCTGTGCTGCAGAGATTTAATCTGCAGCTAGATTTAGCCAAATGTTATCTATTGCGGGGGGTAATGAAGCCCTTATGGATTGAATTGCTTCTTGTACCACACATGGTGTCATGACCTTAGATTGTTTCTTGGTCGATTTCTTTTTTTCTCTATTGGGTAATTATTTTATTTCTTTAGAATAAGAAGCTAGTGCTTCTGCTCAATAACGTGTTTCCTTTCCATCCTCAACACACATTTATTTAAGAACCACTTTCTTTCCTCTTATTAAAAAAGAAAGAAAGAAAGAGAGGTGGGGAAAACCCTGAGAAGGTGAAAGAAAAAGAATTCGAAGACTTCTCATTCCTTACTTGTTGAGTTATCTTTATGTTTACTCCTCTTGGCTTCTCTGTCTCTTAAGCAGTGGCCCTTTACTGCTCAAACTTTCTATTGATGGAACTGAAATTTTGAATATATTTTTGTTCTGAACTCCTAGAGTGAATGTAGAGTAAGTACCCATCTCAGGAAAAGGATTCTGCCCTTCCGTTTTTCTTTCTCTATAAGCCCACCATTTCTTCCTGGAGCTTGTCTCCTGAGGGAGCTGGGGGAGGTGGTCATTCTGATGGAAGGTGATTATTTTGATGGAATACCAGCCTGTGTCATTTATTAAAGGCTGTCTGAGGCCAGTGGTTGAGGCTGTGTCTGTTTTGTTTTTCTCTCTTTGGCCCTGGTGGCTCTGATTTCCTTGCTTGATGGAGGACCAAGCTTGGAACAGCTAACTGTGTTATTACAACTGCTATTGATGGGTAGGGATCTGATCTTACTACCCAAAGCCAGGAATCAAGGACTCTAGAATATGTTGTTATAATTCTCTGCTGGCTACACATTCCACTCACACCTGTTTTTATTACTGACTGAGAAAAGTCGTTTGGGGCAACTTCAAGGTCATATTAGTACCAAACAGCAACCTCAACCAGAAATCTGCCCAGGATCAGCTCTGGTCTAGTAGGGCTCCTCCAGGGAAACAAGTTTCCCTTTAAAACAGAACCAGACAAGGACCAGCCCAGGGAGTAAAGGACAAGTGAAGTGGGCCCAGCACTGTCCGCATCCATTCTTGTCCACATGGTGCAGCTGAGTCACACATATACACACAGACATACACACTCATGGCCCATCAGCTGCCACTTGCCTCCCTTCTCCCCTCTATGATTTCGTAATTAGACATATGTTTTTTGTTGGTAAATGTGTTTGATGTCACGGCCAGTGAAACGTGGTGTGTTTATAGGGCCACGAATGTAAATGTGTAAATATGTTTAGTGTAAAATCTGGCCCTTCGACTTTAGCAATAAATACACTGCCAACTCGGATACGATTACATTTGACAGAAAGATGGAGAATCTGATCATGACCAGCTGCTCAGGGCTCTTTGGGGCTTAGACTTTCCCAACTGAATTCACTTTTCAGATAATTTCTTTGCATGTCACATCTCTCTAATCACATGTTTCTCTTGATGTGAGCAGCTTGCGCTCCTTTCTTTTTATTGTTGACCCCTCCGGCATGTAGGAAACTTCCTGGTTCATTCCTCCAGCTTCTTCTGTACCAGGAAAATGCTAGTCATGCTAGTCAGTAGTAAGCAAAACACACAAAGAGAAAAACAACAAATGATCATTTTTCACCCTTGTATTTTTTTTTAATTCCTGAGTCTTCAGGTGTGATAGGATAGCAAGAAAGTGAAATGGGGATTCAACATTGTGAGCTTTGCTGAGCTTGTCATTATCATCAGCATTCTATTTTTTAAAAAGCTGTTTTGAACTAATCTTACTTTTCAAAAGTAAAAAAAAAAATTAGGGCAGCATAATTTACATAAAGAAAAGTATAGAAATCCCAACAACTTTTCACAAAGTGAACACACCCCTGTATCTCCTGCAATGCCCTTTCCTGCTTAATCCAGCCAGCACCCCCACCCTATACTGTCTTTTAAAAAGAACTTTTACTAATATTTCTCTCAGTTATACCATGAAATAGGACAAGAGATATTACTGACCTCATTTTACAAATAAAGACATCAAGGCTCAAAGAGATTAAATGACTTGCTCAAGGTCATAGCTACTTCAGCATTTAAATCCCATTTCCCCCCATTGCGTTACACCACCACTTTGTTACCATCAATGTGATTTATTAAATCTCCACAGTGGTAGGGAAGTGCCTTCGAGGCACAGTGTAGAAGAGCCATTTATTCTTATATACTTTTGCTTTCTTGCTGCACCCTCTTCCCTACCACCTCCACAGAAGTCTTTCAGATATGCCCCACCACCTTGTTTTAGATGCATTTGGAATTGACAGCTAATTATTTCAGAGGCATTCGTTTCCTCCACCTAGTTCTACATGATATTCTGTTAGCATCCCTTTTTCCATTTTGTTTTGCGCCAGAAAACTTCTTTAAAACATTATACATATACACACAGAGCTCACAACTCACTTTTGTACTGTTTACCCACTTCTTCTGTTTCTTCCATTGATTTTGAATGGTCAAAATTTGCAA